ATTTATTTTAATTTATATTTAAGAAATTTGAAATCATTTGAAAATGGATTAAAAAATAAATGTGTAAAATAAACATAGTTATACTCTAGAAGACAAAGTATTTTTCACAAATAAATAAATATTTAATAAAAATATAATTAAAAAGGAAGTAAACACTGTAACCAACAGGGCACTCAGTATTCTGAGAAGTTTGTGTGCATTGGGAATCATATTTTTTCAAATAAAGCCAAGGTAACACTCAATTTACATACAGCACACAGTGAAAATGACATGAATATGACAGTGGGCAAATGCATAAAGTGCAGCATAATTTGAAATCAGTCACAAGATTAAAGTTTGTCGATCGCGCGTCTCCAGTGAAGCTGAACTCTCCTCCTGTCCTGTGAATGAGTCACTGAATCATTCACTCACTTGATTCGTTCAAAAATGTGGATTCACTCAGTAATAAACATGGCTCTGTGTTGCACGGAAAGGCACAAAGTTCTGCAGTGGCTTTGTTTGGAATTACTGTCGTTGGTCAAATTGAGCCAAAACAGCATCTATTTTCTAAATGCATGTTACTGATCTTATTGTGAATGTTTTGTACATGCTGGTTGTTTTTTTGACCTTGTAATTTTTAATCAAAATATTATTTCATATTTGTCATTTCATCTTCCAGTAAAACCACAGACCTCTCTTAGGTGACTTATGCAGGACTTCTACAATCATTTAGTCCTTCCCTGCAAACTCATGTTCATCTGCCTTCAATTTTAAATGCAACACCCACATCTTAAAATCCAATCAACAACTGATGGATGAAACCACACCCTACATTTAGAAACAGACTGAACGTAAAAGATCTGTTGCTACTTCCATTTCATCACAACTTTAAAAGAGGGCACCGCCACTGGGTTAAGGATTGTATTGGTCTGCTCATTCTTAGTTCCCAGAATCTTTGTTTGAAGGCAGACAAGTTTAGATCTAATTCAGGGTGACACGGGAACGGGACTGAGTGAGATCACAATCCAACCTCCTTTGAGTCCTTGACACCTCACAAAACCCAACACTTCCGTCATAATTTATATATACAGTCTGCTAAATGACAAAAAGGTCTTCAGCACACACTGACATTACCTGGTGACCCCCTCTGATCTGCTTCAGGACCTTCTCATAACAAACCTCCTCCATGTCATGCAGCTGCTGGACCTGTGACGAGAATATAACAATTACAATGACATTTCATATTTCTGACTAAAAGATGACTGAAAAACTCAATGTATTTGGCATAGCTTGAGATTAATTGGCTGCTGGGTACCTTATTTGTAGTCTTGATGCCAACAAAGCTCTGGCCAAGTGGAACAGGACGGAAACGACCGTCAAAGTAGAACAATCCAATGCATGGGTTCACATGCAGGAAAGACACCACATCCAAGTAATTTGGCAGAGTTGCTGAGAGACCAAGTATGCGAATCATGCTCTGGGTCGACTCCACCTAGAGAAAGATGGATACACGGTTTGAGTGCAGGGTTTTCTTTTGAAGAGTCTACGACATTCCCATAAACACACCGAACAGCTGTGAACATACTAGATCAGTTCCAGCGCCTAGTGAGCCGCACTGATGTCGAAAAAGGGCAGCAACTCCCCAAGGTAGACATAATTGACAATAACAATAAACCACAAAATATGTAAAAATAACCCACAAAATAAAAATACATAAAAATGTACAATTCTAAAATGCAGAGCACAGAAATAGCTAGTGAAATAGCCATTTAAATGATATTTTATTACATTTTTATATAGTTATAATTTCACAAATGCTTTCAGTAACGAATTAAATATAACTATATTTAAAATTGTCATTTCCGTCGTTACTCCATCTTTAAATTTTCACACATGCAATGCCGCCTTAGAATTTGACTAACATAGGGTTACAGCCTAATATCAGGGTTATTATCATTAACTAAAAATAAATTTAAACTAAAACCATAAAAAAAAAAATCAGTAATTAAAAATTCATAGCATCAATTTTCATTACTTGGGGGAAAAAAAAAAACTGAAATAAAATATTTAAAAGCTTCAGACTTATTTATTTCAGCTAGTTGCCATATAAATGACAAAAAACACACAAAAATATAAAACTATAACTAAAATTTAAATGAAACCTGAAAATATAAAGCAAAAACCTATTCAAAACATTAATAACAACTATAATAGTAAATCAGTTATATATATATATATATATATATATATATACTGTATATATATATATAAAAAAAAAAACATTGTTAGGGCTATGATGCCAAAAATGTCTATATAGTAAGGCAGCTGGTTTTGAGTTTCAGAACAACTATTTTTACAGGTAAAATGTGTGCATATTTATATGCAATGCTGCAATTATATAATGAAGTGCAGATGACAGTATCTGACAACCGTCACACTACCAGATGTGCTATTGTGCAGCCAGAATTAAAGTTTTGAAAAATAAACAACTCAAAACTAATGACAGTCAGAGCATCTGAGACAGAGAGAGAGAGGCAGCTGTGCTATCTGTGCTCCTCCTGCGGTGCGGCTGACAGCTAAGATTGGTAAGGCCTTTAATATGATGCAGTAGCTGTCTGTCCAGGTAATCTAGATATCATACAGCTAGTCCCTATTTGCGGCTACGAAGAATGATGAAAAGACTCATAGAGAATCCTTCTCTCGGGCTCAGTGAGAGCTCAGGTCACCTCCGCTAGAGCGGCCGTTTGATGCACTCATGAACCGCAGCTATGGAGAACTGATCTCTCGTGTCATACACACATTCTTCTGTTGTGTTAGGGATCAACTAAAGCAGAACTGAGGCAAAAAACACTGGGCACATATTTCAAACACACAACACTATAAAAAGAATCACTAAAGACACTGTTGCAATGGTGCACTGGACAGTGATCGTTAGACAGTTGATACACACTATGGTACTGCATGCATTTTAATGGTATTTAAATGGTGCCATAACGCCAAATTTACACTGCAGGCATGATTTATTCTGGCTTTTAAGCAGCAATAAGTCTTTCTGAGCAGAAAGAGAGCAGACCTTTGTGTACTTAGCTGTGTAAAGAGGTCTTCAGAAATCAAAAAACTATCATGGTATGTGTGCAACAAACCATGGCACAGCCATGCTACAAAACAAATGGTAAAAACGTGGTTTAAAAAAAATATATATATAATTTCGGGTCCACAAATAATAAAACATACACTATAACTGTGTTGTTATTATTATTATTATTATTATTTAATTAATTAATTTATTTTTACAGCCATGCTACAAAACAAATGGTAAAAACGTGGTTTAAAAAAAAAAAAATCTCGGGTCAACAAATAATAAAACATACGCTATAAATGTGTTGTTATTGTTTTTTACATTTTTATTTACAGCTATGCTACAAAACAAATGGCAAAATACATGGTTTAAAAAAAAAAAAAACATCTCGGGTTTACAAATAATAAAACATACACTATAAGTTTATTATTATTATTATTATTATAATATTAAAAAAAAAAACATTTTTAATCAGCTTCAACAAAAATATTCAGTAGCGCAACATTGATAATCGGCAAATCATCATATTACAAGGATACACTGAAATCTGGAGACATGGCTGCTGAAAATTAAACTTTACCATGACTGGAATAATTCACATTAAATAAAAGCAAAATATTTCCCTTGAATTACTGTATTTTTATCAAGTAATTGCGACCTTCTGTCTCACAATGTGACTTTATATATACCAGCTGTGACTTTATATATTGCAACTGTGCGTTTATTTTACATAAATGTTACTTTATTTCGTATAACTGTGACATTAGTTCTTGTAATCATGTGTTTTTATGAAGCTACGAGAATACTTTTTGTGCACAAAGAAAACAAAAACAACAACTTTATTCAACAATTTCTTCTCTTCCGGTCAGTCTCTGCCGCCATTCATGAGAGTACCATGATGCATGTGTGTGATGATGCTGCTGACGCAAGAGCCGGCGTTCTGACTCAGAACCCAGATGCGCTGCACCTTGTTTACAAGCAGAGGAATGCACACGCATGCATCGTGGTACTCTCGTGAACATGCGTCGACTGACACAGAAGAGAAGAAATTGTTGAATTGTTATTTTTCTTTTCTTTGTGCACAAAAAGTATTCTCGTAGCGTCATAAAATTAAGGATGCACCACTGATGTCACATGGACTATTTTAACGATGTCCTTACTATCTTTCTGGGCCTTGAATGTGGTAGTTCCCTTCCTGTCAATGCAGGGTCAGAGAGCTCTCAGATTTCATCAAAAATATCTTCATTTGTGTTCTGAAGATGAACGAAGGTCTTATGGGTTTGGAACGACATGAGGGTGCGTAATTAATGAAAGAATTTTCATTTTTGGATGAAATATACTTTTCTGTGTTATTTGTATCTTTTTAATTTTTTTCCCCTACTCTGTGGCAGAAATAGACTTCCATACATTACAGGGCTGTACAGTGCGACATATATGTCGTACGTGCTACGAAAAAACTAGTCTGTGCGATGAATAAATTTACCACTGTAGCATGCGTGCGATACAGTTTTGCATGTTCATAACACAGCCGCTTAATAGTGTGAAGTTCGTTGTGCTTGTTTGTGTGTGTGAGATTGATTATACTTGGTAGTTAGGGTGTGCGATATGACGAATTTTGATCGTGGACGATTAAAATGTCTCCACGATCTGCTTTTGAAGAAATATAATTGTATCGTGCTACAGCGCACATTCTATCAGCTGCAGTTCTGGCGCCTCTGTCCGTCTCAATATAATGTACAACGCCACATGCATTCACATCAGTGTTAGCTCAGCGGTAGAGTTACTCTCACGGGACACTGCACTTATGCGCAATCACAAAACTACATTATTTCCATCTGCTTTAAAGCAATACCGGTTAAACATTTAATTCACGTGCTGTTCCGCATGCGCTTTTTCTGAGCACGTACTCATGAAGCGCGCTCACACTGAGAGCCAGTCAAAAAGCGCCTGATTATTGGACTAAGTTGTCTTTCACGTCTGATTGATTTCGCGTCTAATACTATCAAAAACACACAAGGTTTACATATAAACACAATTGGTTATGTCTAAAATGAAAGTAAACAGTTGAGAGAGAAACGCGTGAAGCTCTTAAAGGGACAGTAGCTACTAAACATGCTGCCGACTGTCATTAAAGGGATAGTTCACCCAAAAAATTAAATTTCTGTCATTATTTACAAACTCACATTTTGTCTTAAACCTGTATTAATTTCTTTCTTGTGCTGAACACAAAAGAAGATATTTTGAAGAATGTGAGTAACCAAACAGTAGCTGGTCCACACTGACTTTTAACAGTAGGAAAAAAATACCAGCAACTGCTTGGTTACCCACATTCTTCAAAAATAAATTTTATGTTCAACAGATGAAATAAACTAATTCAGGTTTAAAACAACTTAAGTAAATGATGGTATAAAAATGAAACACTATTGAAAGACAGATGACAGAATTTTCATTTTTGGTGAACTATTCTTTTAATGTTAATAAAACAACAAAACACAGAAAAAAAATCACTCACTGCTCTTGACTGATGAACGATTGTTTTTTATTTTATATTTTGTTAAGGTGTAAGTGGTGTTATGTTTCTGCACTCTTCCATTTTTAGCTAATTAAGAAAACTTTGTCTAAAACAATTTTTGTGATGGTTTGTATTTTTTTGTGCTCTGTATGGAACATCGGTGCCTGTTTAAGTGATGAACTCCATTACTTGTGTTTGTTTTCAGACATGATAACAGACGTTTTATACTTGTGCTACAACTTTTTGGCCTGTGCTACAAAACTTTCAACCTCTGTAGCACCAGTGCTATGTGAAAAAGTTAACGTACAGCCCTGCATTACAAACGGCGAGGATGAGTGATGTGTTAACACTTAGTGACAGTGAACTTAGAATTTGTCACCTCTAAGCCTCAGAAATAACAATAAAATTTGAAACTTGCTTTAGCAAACACAACTAAGAATATAAAAAAGCCTTCTCTTGTGCACAGAGACAAAGAGCCACATCTATAGTTGTTGGATGTTACCCAGTTTCCTCAGAAGGAGCTCATAATGATGCTGGCCTGTGGCAGGCAGAAGGGTCACGTATCTGGATCACCCTTATGGGTCCATCCTGCTCTTGTGTGGTCACCCGAGGACAACTAGATCTTGGATGGCCATCTGTCATGCTGGTTTACTGATACCTTCTTTATAGTCTGAACACGGATTCACTTCATAGTGTCTGGCAAAACTGGCACACGACACACCTGCCTGCAGCAAGCCAATGGCCGTCTCTCTTGCTTCAGGTGACATTTGAGGCATTATGAAAGACACTGAAATCAGACTTGGCATGGCTTTATTTTTCCAGCTTTTAAGAATCTTAAAAAAAAAAAAGTGAAAGCAGTTTTTATTCCACCTGGTCCTCACTGGCTAAAAGAGAATCTTTA